ATTTGATAGTCTATTTCCAATTTGGATGTCTAATTATCCATCACGGAACTGTCAAGGGGCACTTGGCTGATAACTTTCACAGTCCAAAGATGGTCTGCGCTGAAATGTCAGCTGCTTAGCCTCTCTCTCCATCTGCTTCATTATGTTGTCCTCTTTGCCTGCATGTTTAACGTACAAGCAGAGTACAAACAAGGGACTTTTAGAAAAGTTAACCCTTTCTTTAGCACATTAAGGCCTTGTTTAATTTGGTGGCATATTGGTTTGATGTCCGTGTGTGTGTGTGTGTCTATTCTGCACATTTGTTTGATGTCCGTGTGTGTGTGTATTCTGCACATTTGGTTAAACAGAGGTTTACGGTTATCTACTTGGTTTATAACCATGATATTACATTGTGAATGTTTTGTACTGTGTGATGTTGATGCTGAAATATTATGTGATTGTTGGTTGCAGAGAAGAGGAGCATAAACGGAAGGCTAAGGCTAAGGCTACTGGATTTTGTAAATTATGGAGATCTACTTTGGAATGCTATACTATAGTTCACTGGCATTTTGTAAAATATCCTGGATGAAAGTTTAGTGAATGATGTTTTAAGAGTCAATGCAAAGATTGACTTGTCACAAGTATCTTCTTATGTACTTGTATTTGTTGAAGTTGCATGTATTGGGCACTATTCTTTTTCTTATTTTGGGTGATAGAGTTTAAATCAAGTTACATTTGCAAATTAAACTCAACTATTTATAAATAGTATGTCCCAACTATAGTATGCCCCAATTCTATTAGCAGGTAATAGAAACAAAACAATTGTCCTCTTTTTTTAAGATTCATAATATACATGGCAAAAATATGCTCCAATTAACCCATATCATGAGATTTGTAGCATTACTCTATTACACAATGGCAAAAATTTGTAGTCCTACTCTAAGCAAACACAAATCTGGTGAACAATACTGTTTTTATTATCCTGCTTCTTAGTCCGACACTACACCAAACGCTTCACTAAGTTAGTCCAACTTAGTCTAGTCTAAGCCAGTCCAGCTTAGTCCCTGCAGCTAGTCCAGTCCGAGACAATCCGGCGCAACAAACGCACCCTTACTGTCTTTTCTTCTGGATCCAGAGATAAACTTGTCTCTGTCAGAGAATAGTGTGTTTCCTTTGTTTTTCTTCCTTTCTAATTCATTTTCCCTTATTTATACTAGCAACCGTAAAAATTTATAAGAAGAGAAAATGTAAAATGATTTCTATTTTTTTTTTATGATATTCAAATGATTTTGCGTCGCTGAATGAGACTGTTCATATATTTGACTACTAGTTCTGAATAAATATTTTTTTACTAAAAGTTTACAAGGTAACTGATATGGTTATTTGGTTATAAAACTTTCAGAAAAAAAAAATAAAAGTATTTTGTGTGTAATTTACTATATTCTACGTAGCTTTTAATTTATTTAAGTTAATTTGGTCATCTCACTCTCTTTTAATTGATTAAGAGAATTTCGTTGATAGGTAGTTTAGATTATAATAAAATAAAATAATTACTAAATAAATAGTTTTTTTTTTAATTATATGATATTATGTACATTAAGTGGTGGAGGGAATAAGTACAATGAGACAGTCATAATAATTTGGTTCGAATTCATTTTGACGAGAATCGAACTTAAGATTTCTTATTTATGAGATATTTTTCAATTTACTAGAAACACGTTGTAATAATACAATTGGTCAGAAACACGTTGTAATAATAATTTATTATGACACTTAATGTATCGAGTTATGTTCAATGTTCACAACACACTAAACAAAATTTCCTCACTTACAAGTTAAAAAGGAATACTATTAAATCATAATACTAAGTAACTATTAAATAACTAATTTATATATTTGATTTGTAAAAGTTTAGGGGAAAGGAAATCTAATCCATCAAGGTTAGGACATATCATAAGTCTCCTTGAGAACTTACACAAGAAGTATTAGTCTTTTTTTTTTGTTTTTACATATCGCGCATCAAAAATGGTTTGCAATGGAACTCAAACATAGACCTTACAACTCAACTAATCCTTGTTGGAAAATACACATATATTTGAGCAATCTTTTAATTAATTTAAACTAAATTATTGAGCCAAAACTCAATGCAATAATAAGCACATTGTTTTAATCAAATTAGCTATATATACGATATAAAACGTCTATTTATATCATCGATTCTAAGATTTGATAAAGAGAATATTTTCAAGATGAGCATAAACATAGAACACGTACACACTGCTCTACGAAATTAATCAAGAACAATTCCGCAAAAAAATGGAAGATATGTGACTTTTATTTATTTCATAGATTCTATGAAGGATAAGAAAATGTTGTCGGAGAAAAAGAAAGGTAAACGGGCGATAAGAAGACGAATACAACACAATGATACAATTGGGGCTTCCAGAAAGTGCCCTTTTGATAGCCACTAAGGCCAAAAACCCATCACAATAATTGAATTACCATTGTCTTATTAGAAAGTAAAACACATTACTTTGGCGTTTTTTAAACTTGAATGTGACAAATATGACATAGACAATAAGGATGTGTGACTTAGATATCAGGTTGGAGGAAAATGGACTGAAGTACAAAGGTTAAGGCAAATAGATATGTGAGAGGTATTGCACGAGTTCGATGTCAAATTATTATGACATATTTTATCGCGATTCTTATAAGAGATTTTTCAATATGCTGAAAACACAACTCGATACATCAAGTGTCATCACACAAGTGATTGGATACTTGAAAAAAATAAAATTCAACCACTTGTATGATGATACTTGATGTACCACGTTGTATTCTGGCACGCTGAAAAGTTGTCTGTCTCCTAGTTCAAATCTACTGCTCTTTATTTTAAAGGAAAATTAATGAAAATTGCTTGAAAAATTTGAGTTTTAACGATAAGAACAAAATAAAGGGTAAAGTTAATAGTACTAGGATTGACTTTTTAGTGTAAAAATATGATTTTTCGTTAAAGTGAACAGTACCGGGAGCTTTTCGTTAAAGTTCCCTTATTTTAAACACGTCTTTGGATTCATTAAAAGACAAAAAGACATGCTAATATTTTGATCCCAGTATGCAAGAATTAACCATACCATATACTTAGAAATACCAAGAATCCCGCTGCAAATCAACTGTAAGTCAAATATTACCAACGAAACAAAAGAAGGAATTGCACAATTCATTTGGTGATTAGGCGAACTAACAACAACAACAAATATAAAAAATAACGAGTCAATAATTTAAACACTAAACTAAATGATCCTTACGAAGATGTGGGTTGTTGAAGAGTTGGATCATCACTTTCCTTAACTATATCAAACAACATACTCCATATGGCTCTTGCAATCGTTGTTTTACCTATACCGTCCATACTTTAAATTCCAATTATTTGAACATCAGGTGAACCTCTAACATCTAAGTATTTAGTACTTAATTCTTGCACGCGAAAAGCTATTCCAACTGAGTGCTTGGCTTCTTTTAAGTTTGTGGTTTTCAGTAGTCTCCTAATGTCTTCAACAATTTTCTCGATAAACAATCATTCATGTCTCGCAGTTAAAATTCAAAATTATACAAAAGTAAGATTCATCATGCAACTGCAAGATTTATTTCAACTAAATGCCTCATTCATCATGATTAGATATTTTGGTAGTGAAAATGTTTTGAATAAATTAGATTTGATCGGGATGATTAGTTTAGTTCAATTCAGCCGTGGTTCAGCCGTGTTTCCAAAATGCATTGTAACCATATTAGTTAAACTCAGTTAGATTGCTCCTGAACTATAAGAAGGTGTTTGTTTGCCCTCACTAAACCATATTATAGCTTTTAGTCATACAAATAGAAATCCATTAGAATTAGTATATGGGTTTGACATACGAAGGATTCGTCCTTCACGCATTACCAATGCTCATCTCCTTATTTTTGGTGGATTAGTGAGTCTTAGAAGCTAATACAAGACATTGGAATTAAATTTAGAGGAAGAATTAAAATACCTGTCCGCCGTGGTTTTAAGATTCCGGCCACACAAATCTGCAGAAGCCTTAAGATCCTTCTCCACTGCTCGACCTCATCTGGATCTTCATCCCTTTCATGCTAACAAAGTTAAAAGAATAAGGTAAAGTGAGACACCTAATAAAAGTTTAGGTGGTAAAGTGAACAAATCATCATATAGAGTAAAGTAGAATTTTGTGTACATAAGTGTCATAGAAATGCCTTTAGTATTTTGTACATATAGAAAATAAATAGGGTTAATTACATCGATGTTCCTTGAATTTGTCATTTATCTTCATTTTCGTTCTTAAACATTTTATTTGTTTTATGTGATCTTCAAACTCGCTATCGCATGACTTTTTTTATATATCCTTTTCGTCGACTTCATCTATTTTTTTGTTAAGTAGAGATGATAAATTTAAAATTCATCCCACAACCTGAAAAATGGGAAAATGGAGGTGGGTGTACAAAATTCTTGCCATGCCCTCTATATTTAACAGAAAAATAAGTTTTTTTGGGTCAAAAAATAGATTTTGTTAGATTAGCCACCGACAGAGTTTGAACTCACACTTTCGTACAAGAGTTTAACTTCTTTCCACCACTATAGTAAAAGGCCACTTGCAACAAAAAAATAAATTGAGTTAACGGATATAATTGAATTACCACATGATAGAGTTTGAGAACCACAATAAGAAAAAAAAAAAAAAAACTATTCTAGAACGAAAGTAAAATTCATGACAACAATGTTGTATATCTGAAAAATAGTTCAAGCAGATTAAGATGTTAGCACAGAGTCATTTATCTAGTTTATTGAACAAACAACGAGGACATCAATGCCGTTTTTTCTGTTTCGAAATTCATAAACAACAAAATTGAGATTTCTTTCACAAAAATTACCATAAATTTTGACAAAATTGACGGTTGAATTATAAATCCAGCAGGCAAATCGAAAACAATCACATGAGCTTAGAACACACCACATCAACATTTAGCAAGAAGTCTCATAAGAGATCCCAATCAAGATAAAATCATTCAACAGTTTATTACATTTCATTCATTTAAGAGCATGGTTCGAAGGATTATTTAATTGACGTTATAACATCTTTCTACAAAGAAAAAATGAAAATAAATATGGCGTTGACACTCGTGGCAAAACCCGACATGGATTTAAGTACGTTTCAACCTGACCTTCTGTAAAAGCTGTAGGCCACAGCCACTGTTGCCACTGCTCCAACCACGGCAGCAGCTGCGAGAACGTCGCTTTGCTCCCAGTTCCCTATCAAACTTGATAGCTTCTGTAAGCCATCCTTCCTAGCACACGACTCTGTGGTTTCTTTCGGCTTTTTATCCTCACTTCCACCGTCCTCCTCCAAACTTACTTCTTTGCAGTATGTAAATCCATCACTATTAGCACTCTGGCAATAGCCTGAAAAGTTCTCATTATTCTCAATTTGATTGCCCTTTTCTTGGTGAATCTGATTGCCATTTTCTTGTGGCTTATCCTCGATTTTCTTATTTTCTTCTCCATTTGGAAGCTCCCGGTCATTAATTTCTTCAGCTTCATCAGAAGATGCTCCCATTTGGCCCCTGTAAGGAATGAAATTGAATTTCGTGTTCAACTATTTAAAGATTCAACTCTAAGTTTCGTCAATAGCAATTGAGTAAGAATAGGTATGATCAAGCTAATAAACAAATCACAACAACAATACAAATCAGAAACATATACAGGGTAATGCAGTTATATCTAGTTCTTTTGTGCTTTCTCCACAAAAGTTCCTCCATGTTAATGCAACTCTATATCAATTAATCTATCATACAAGACAAGACATAATCAACAATTGAAAAATATGACAACACTAGCTTTCGTCCAGTGAAATTTTCATCCAAAGACAGTAGGCAAAACCAAAAATGTACAAACCTCCAACGTCGTTCTATAATCTCTCCCTTCCCAATATGCTCATCAAGCAATTCCGGCACATAACCAGGACTGACGAATGGATACCTGCAATTAATAATACATAATATTCAAACTCCTTCATCGATCCCAATACGATAAATTTTAAATTGTTATGATCCGGATATTACCAATGGTATGTCATGCTTCCATCTGGGTCGGTCGTGAATATTCCAGCATAGTTGTGGCCTTCAAGGTGAAAGCAAGCAGTAACAAATACCTGATTCGTCAATCCTCGCAGCTCAAACTCTTCTTTCAACTTATCAATGCGAACACGTGCGCTATCACGATTCCATTCCTCTTGACTCATATGTGTGTATACAAATATAAGGGCAAATACATGGGGGCCAGTCAACGGCTCTTGCACTCTCGAAGCCCATGGTCTATCATTCACAAGGACATCATCAACAAAGCTGTCCACATCCGACTCTTTCAAGCCCCTTTGATCAACAAACAAAAACAACCCCAGGATCATAAAAAGGGATTTACAAGAAACAATAACCTAACACTCTTTACTTTCTTGTAAGGCAAGGAATTAGTGTAAGGCAATGAATTAGTCGTAAACTGAGTCATTAAATTCAATTTCGATCTAATTTCAGAAGCTAACACGTATTTAATTATCTATTTAGTTTAGTACATTCAGCACAATCTCGTAATCAAAAGAGAAGTCGAAACAGAAATTACTTTAGTCTAAACTAGGAAAATAAATTGCACTGCTCATGTTGGTTATTGAATGGGCCCTCGATTATGAATTAATTACGGTTTGCCATTGTGTGTGTTAGTGTGGGCCGTGCTTAACAGCTGGGTTGGGCTACCGCAGTTGGGCCCAGGGTGCAGCTGTCACGAGTTTTGGGCTGGGTTTCACTGAAAGATCAAATGACTCTTTTGCCCCCTTCATTTTTAATCTAACGGCCACCATTTGGGGCGTTTTTGTTCTGCAATTCGGTGTGGTGCTAGTTAAGGAGATCGCGTGTGGTGCTCGTCAAGGAGATCGCGCAGAGAGGCAGAGAGGCAGAGGGTGACATCGAGTTTAGGGTTTGCACAGTGAGAGACAAAAGTGTTGATGGGAAGGGTTGGGGGTGGACAGAGGGTTGATGGGAAGGGTAGGAGCTAGAGAGGGGGGGGTGGGGGTGAGGGTGGGTTCTGTCCACTGACGTTGGTTGCAGAGAGAGAGAAAGATGGGAACGGGTACAGAGAGAAAGAGTGAGTCTTTATTGAGTTTCAGAACTTTCCTCTCTGATTTTCTGATTATTTTCTCAATTGGGCTTATTTCTTACCAATTTCCTTTGAGATTTATGCATGTGTGTTTGTTAATGCTCTGTTTCTTCGTTTTTACAGGAAATGGAATTGCTCTCTTCCTCTTCTTGGCAACCATGTATGCCCTCTCTCTCTCTCAAATTCTTTCATTAGGGGTCTAAGGTGATGCCTTTTTGCCTAAAATATCATTTTGTTAAATGGCTTATGATATTTTGATTCTCTGCACATTCTGCGTAGTTCAAAAAGCAAAATCTCTCTCTCTCTCTCTCTCTCTCTCTCTCTCTCTCTTTTCCTTTTTGTGGCTAAAGATCATGTCTTTTGTGTCATAAATTTGTTTTTGTTACATGGGGTTCTGTATATCTTTTGGATAATCAAAAAGCTTGAATGTTTACTAGGTTTCTTTAAATTTCTTTGAATTCTACCTTGTGATTTTGGTTTAGAAATGTGTAGAATTACATTTATGAGGATCATAAGGAAGAGAAGCACATATCAGTTCTTAGGCATTCCATACGTAATGACTATGCTTAACTGCCTACTCCCACTTGGAATGCTGCTTTGCCTCTCTCTCTCTCTCTCTCTCCCCCCCTTCTGCTGTGTATTGCCTAATTAGTTATTTACATTTGTTTATTTGTCTCTGTAAAGCTTTCATGCTTGGATTTTAAATGTATGATTCAATTAGAAACCTTTATAATGTTGATGTTATAGAACATTCAACAGATATATATTCAACATTAGGTAGCTCTGGCAAAATCATATAGACTAAGATTTGGTAATATATGGAGGTGAGAGTGAATCTGCCTTGCTTGCCATGATATAGGCTTGCAATGATGGCTTTCTCTTTGTAGTACTACATTCTACTCTTACATGCTAACATCAGAAAGCAGACTAAGATAGATCCAAACCCAATTTTATTAATTAAAGTTAACGGAAAGAAAATGATTTATGCATGCCTTTGTTTATTTGTCACTTGATTTTGGTTTAGGTTGACCATAGCTAAAACATCCAAGACTTGCCTAACACCTAATTTGACGAAGACCGTATCCTTTTTAGCCTTTAGGTGTGTGTTTGCTAGCTAGATGGGTGGTGGGTGAGTCTTGGATGTTATCTTGGATGTCTTGATTATTTTGGTGGGCGAGTCTTGGATGTTTTGGTTCTGTCTTCTTCAACTCTTATATCTTCCCTTTTTCTGAATTTTCTTTATTTCTTATCCTTTAAACTTTGTATTTTTTTTTAAATATATATATTTTTTGGTGATGCAGATAGATGAACATGTTCAAGGGGAAATCATGAACCACAGATCACTGCATCTGAATATTGTTTGATTCCAAGAGGTCAGTGATCGTAAACTTTTTCATTTTGTATTTTAAGAATGAATTTGGCAAGTTGTGTTTGAATTTTGTATAAGTATCTGCTGAGGGTGGGTGGATGAAGACAGAACACACTAAATTTGGCCTCTGGTGTGCTTAAACTGGTACGGGGGATGGTTAGAACTTTGAGCGCGGAATGCAGTAGGACTAAAAGGAAATGCCCTACCCACCGGGGCAATCCACCACTTGCAGAATTGTTGTCAAAATAACTCTGCTAAAAATATGATCTATACTTCCTGCACTTTGTTTTACTGTGAAGTTGAAATAGTCTTTAGAGTGGCTTATTTGTGATAATCGATAAATAGGTTTGTGTTTAAGACTTGAGAGTAGTGCGGTGTCTTTCTTGCTGGTTCTGCTCACACCACCTCATCTAGCCATTGTGATGGAGTACACGGCTGGGTGAGAACTCTTCGAGAGAATATGCAGTGCTAGCAGATTTAGTGAGGATGAGATAAAGTAGTTTCAAATGCAGAGAAAATTTCATTGGAAATGATTTTAGTGTAGAGTCTCAAATATGGGATCTCTGAATGTCCCCTGAAATGGAATCCATCTCGATTTTCGTCTAGTTTCAGATAGGGAAAGTTAGGTCTGAAGCATTTTTACATAAATAGTCAGTCATAATATAACTAAAACTTACATACTTTTTCAATTTAATTGTTGTTTTGCATCAGGCAAGGTTTTTCATCCAGCAGTTGATATCAAGAGTTAGTTGCTGTCATTTGATGGTATGTAAATCCTATAAATTCGGATTAAAATTAAAGCAACTATAGAACAAAAACCTCAAGAAATCAACGCGAGTTTACCTGTATTTGATCATTTGTGGGAAAATCAACACATCGCCGTCGGAAAACTCAGTTCCTTCGCGTCCTTCAATTACTGTCAACAACGTCTATCAAAAACCAAGAAAAAAGTGAGTAATGGAGTCGGCTCAACACCAGAACTCAGTAGCTCCAGGAAATAAGAAACGGTAAGAAAAAGCAATCAGAAACCCCGACGAATTGAGCTGGAAAATGGACCTTAAAGGTGATGTCGTTCTTGCGAGCTTTGAGAGCAGATGCGAAGATTTTAGGGAGTGGATCGGACTCATAGCCTTTGATGCGCCATGGCCAGGCCTCGAGGGTCTTGTAGCAGAGGAAAACGTGGCGATAGTATGACAGTGTATCGTCATCAGTGTCTTCATCAGACTCATATGACACAGTAGTGTCTTCATCAGACTCATATGACATAGTCTCATAGTTGTCCCAATTAGTACGATCATCGGACAAATCCCATTTTACAATATCCACTCCAGTTTTGTTCACCTTAATAATTGTATTATCTAGTCCATAAAATTGTGCTTGTACAAGAACCATGTCGCCGCCTTTCAAATTGAGCTTCTTGTTTTGAAAGATTTCCCAACCAAAGATAATATTCATGGGAAGCAGTTACGGTGGCCTCAATTGGCCAGATACGAAAATTAGTTTGCTGGGTACGATTAACAACATCAATGGTTAGAAACCCACTAGAGTCGGAGTTGTCCGAAGAATAAACGATGCCCAAAGCCAACCCTCCTATATAATCAATACATGGCGGCACTTTAAATTTGACAGTTTCATCCTCTCTCGCGACATAGGCTAACCGCTTCGGAATATCATTTCTAGAGAGAAAAATTCCACCAAATGCATTTTTCTACAACATGGGGTGCAAAGTTAGTAAAAGCAACAATACAAAAAGCAGAGAGAGAGAGAGAGAGAGAGAGAGAGAGAGAGAGAGAGAGAGAGAGAGAGAGAGAGAGAGAGAGTACCATACCGTTTGGAGGTTCTCCTTAAAAGTATCAGTGAGACTGGTACACCCTTCCATATAAATTGAATCCATGTAGTCCAATGAGTTCTCCAAGTTTGGAATATCTTTGAGTTTGCGGCAGTCTTTCAGTTGCAAGTGTTTCATTTTCGACATCTCTGAAAAGTCGGACACTATTTCCAGTGCTGTGCAGTAATTCGCTTCCAATACACATAAACTGTTGGGCAAATCTGGGATTGCCTGAAGGTTTGTGCAATGATTTAGACATAAACTCCAAAGCTGAGAAAGACCACTGAGAATGGGTAGCCTATTAAAACCATTCCCACCTAGATCTAAAATTTTTAAAGAAGATAGACTCCCAATTATTTCGAGAAGGGCACCATCTGTTATATTGCAGTCGCTGAGATGTAATTCCTCAATCATCTTCAGTTGTGCTAAAAAATGGTAACCCCCACACAAACCCTTACAGTCTCTGATGGTCAAGTACCGGAGATGTGGGAGTTTTGAAAAGTTTGGTAATTCAGTCAGGTTACGGCAGTGTACAAGAACGAGAAACTTCAACTTCTTAGGTAACTGTTACTCAAAAAGAGAAAACAATAATAAAAATCCAAATAAATAAAAGAGAGAATGCATGACGATGACTGATGTTGATATTTACAAGGACATTGATAGTTATATTGTACCAAGTCTGAATCCTCCCAAACTCGTACGATCTTGCTGGACCACAGTTCCATATAAACTAGGTTTCGTTGATCAAAATCTGCTGGTATGGCTTCAAGAGGAAATCCAATCCAATACAATAATCTTAACTCCTTGGAAAGATGTTTGTAGCTTCCAGTCAGCTTTACATTTCCCAGCCAGAGAATTCTCAGTCGCCACATCTTGTTAAATGCTTCCGTACTGAAGCTTTGCTCGTCATCAGAATGTTCTGGCAAAAATAATTCTAGTCCTTCAACTGCTTCTGTTCCCTGTTAGAGATATAAAAAAAAAACAAGAAAAGGATAATATTCACACGAAGCAGAGTTGTGAATCGGATGAATGAACTACTAAAAAGGTAGGGCATACAACATAATTATTTATTTTCTCTTTCAAATTACCCAGTGGATGAAAGCCTTTTCTTTTCTTCTTTTTCTTCGAATATACTATGTATGTCATACACTATATATATACAGGATATGCTTATATACTTCTCTTTTTTCATATGTACTTAACATCTCTTTTATTGCAAAAGTACTTACAGATTCGTTCCATAGCACACTTTTTGCATCTTCCATATGCCACAATCGACTACGTTTTCCCAGTTCCACAGGAGATTCTGCCCGCACAATTTCTCTTCCCATATCTCGAATCAAATCATGCATCCTCAATGCTCCCCCTTTATCAATATATAAGAGACATCGATCACAAAGTGTGGTAATTTCTGCTTCTACAGAAAAATGACTACAACCATCCAATATTGTCGTGACCACACTTATAGACACTCCAATAAAGAAATTAGATATGTCAAGGAACACACCCTTCACATGATCGTCACGTAACCCATCGTAGCTTAATTTAAGTGTTTGATGAATTTTTCCATCTGGAATATTTCTTAATTTATTCAATGTACTTTTCCATATGCTTTTACTCTTTTTCGTAGCCAACAAACGGCCAACAACTTCAAGAGCTAGGGGCAATCCTCCACAATAATCAACAACATCTCTTGCGAGTTCAATATATTCTTCATCGGGACAATCATTTCCAAAGGCATGCCAACTAAGAAGCTTAAGAGCTTCATCATCAGTCATTCCTTGTGCTTTATACCTTTTATCCACCTTTTGTATATTCAGCACTTGTTCATCTCTTGTCGTTATAATAATCCTACTCCCTGGACCAAACGAGTCATGTGCTATTGCCAATTTATCTAATTGGTCCGCATCATCTATGTCATCAACCACGACAAGTACCTTCATGCTTCCAAGTCTTTTCTCTATCTCCTTGGTTCCTTCAGCAACATTGCTTACCTTAATGTCAGGCCGTTTCAAAATATCTCCAAGAAGTTGTTCTTGCAGACTAACCATATTTTTCTTGTTACTCCTCACCTCTTCAAGGTAACATTGACTACTGAAACTATGACCATATTTGCTACAAATGGCTTTGGCAAGTGTTGTTTTACCTATACCGCCTGTACCCCAAATTCCAATTATTTGAACATCAGGTGAACCTCCAACGTCTAAGTATTCAGTGCTGAATTCTTGCACGCGAAAAGCTATTCCAACTGAGTGCTTGGCTTTTAAGTCTACGGGTTTCAATATTCCCTTGATGTCCCCAGTAATTTTCTCGATAAACACTCCTTCACGCCTACAAGTAGAAATTCCAAATTACGAGAGCCATACTAAATGCCTTAATCATCATGCCTTTATATTTACATATTGAAACAGATTGGAATAAATTGTGATTTACTGAGCTCAATTCAACCACGTATTTAATCTTCGATTATAACGTGAATAACCAATTGGACTACTACACAATTGTAGCTTTCAGTTATATAATTAAGAATCCATTACAATTGGTATTTTAATTTGATAAAGTGTGGAGCATTTGTCCTTCACACACCTATAAAAAACAATCACTTCCTTAATTTTGACGGAAATTCTTATGCAAATGCTCTACAACAATAACAACAACAAAGCCTTTTCCCACTAAGTGGGGTCGATAAATAAATGATGCAAATGCTCTACCTTTTATAAAATTCATATGCCAATTCTAATAAATTTTTATGCAGTGACCAAAATTACAGTTCTATCATAGTTCACGGACCAACGATCCAATTTTTCTTATAACTTATAAAATCAGATTCAATGCCTTAATTATAATATCTTAATTTTGGTTGATTAGTGAAATATGGCGATATGAAATTTGAAGTAAACAAAAAAGTATACCCGTCGGCCGTGGTTTTGAGGTTCCAGCCGGCCAAATCTGCAGAAGCCTTAAGATCCTCTCTCCACTGCTTGACCACATTTGGATCTTCATCCTTTTCATGCTTCTGAAATGCTTCCCCAAAACTATCTTTCTGTTTCCTGACTTGAGAAGGGTCAACGTCGTAGAATATTGGACACACTATTTTCCCCTCTTGATTTTTTAGGCACCTCATGATCTTCGACAGCTCCCTCAGGCACCATCGGGACTCGGCGTACCTCTTTGAGAAGACGATGACGGCGATTCTCGACCCTTCGATTTCTTGGTCAAGTTCCCTCTGTATGTTTTCCCCCCTTCTGAGCTGTGTGTCTATAAATGTGTTAATTCCGGCATTGCGTAATGCAATGAAGAGGTGGTCTGTGAAGGTATTGCGGGTGTCTTCACCTCTAAAGCTCAGGAACACCTCGTACTTCCAGCGGTTTGAGCTCCGCGAGGAAGACGAAGAGGCGGCAGCGGCGGCTCCATGGTCGGAGCTGCTGGCATCCATTGCAGCCTGTAGAAGTGCAGCTTGACTTTCAAATAACCAAAGTCAATCTTTCCCAAGCTTCCCGAGTGTAGGCGACCCTATTAAATTTTTTGCATAGGGCAATGATGTCACTGCCGTGTCGATAACGCGTGAGTGGTATTCCTCCCACAATTTAATTTGTATAAATGTTACCATCAAATTTTAAAAAAATAAATCGTATAACTGCTTTACGATGCAATTTCCTTTCTTTTGTAGTTTTAAGGGTGGTGCGCAGGTAGGTTCAACTGCGGCTGCTGGTGGACGTCACGACAGCGTTATAAGAATCTTCGGTGAAAACAGGTCCACAAACACCACATCTATTATCTCGACACCATGTGCACATACATTACATGGGAGCCAGTCAACGCCTCTTGCACTCCGGAAGCCCATGGTTTGTGATTCACAAGGACATCATCAACAAAGCTGTCCACATCCGACTCTTTCAAGCCCCTTTGATTGAGAAACAAAAACAACCACAGAATCACAAAGTTAAAAATCCCCAAATACTTATCGCTAACACGCCCATTTAGGGCTGGTTTGGTATTGCTGTGCTTTGAAAAAAAGCTGCTGTAAGAATAAGCGGCTGTGCTGTGAGAATAAGCGGCTGTGAAATAAAACCAGTAGAGTGTTTGGTAAACTTTTTTGTG